AGCATTTTTTTTTCATAAACTCTATGGTGATGATGGAGGGTAATTTTTTAACTACAGTGCTTATCTCTTTCTCCAGAGATTATTTTGGTGTAATAAGGACAATGCTGGCCTATCTATGGACTCACCTACCTATCTGTAGGTAAATTTGCCAACTTCCTAGGGGAATGGGAGGTAGGAAGGAAAGCTGCTGCCCACTGACCCATTAGATTAAATTTACACGCGATCATCTATGGCCAAGTCAGTCAGTATTGTGGAAGCTAGGCAGGATGCTTCAGGCTTTGTGCAGGACTAGCAGAGACATGGGATTGATCCTGCACCAAGCCAGGATGTAGGAAGAGCTACCCACTTAGTGAAAAGACAAGAGAATAGTTCCTATGAGTGTCGACAGAAACTACGAACCAGAAAACTGATGCAAGAATTTGTCAGATGTTGGCATTAATCAGTCAAAATTCCAAAATTGGAGCCCCAGCAGTAGTACAGTGGGTAGATCATTTGACTTTCACTTGGCCAACTAAGGTTTGATCCCCAGCACCACATAAAGTATTCTGAGCCTGCCAGGAGTGATCCCTGAACACTGCCAGGTATGGCCCCCAAACCAAAAATGAACAGAAAGTCCAAAGAGCTAAAATTATGTATAGTAGTACTGTAGCATTGTCCTCTCGTTATTCATTGATTTGCTTGAGTGGGCACCATTAATGTCTCCATTGTGAGACTTGTTGTTACTGTTTTTTGGCATATCAAATATGCCTAGGGGAGCTTGCCATGCTCTGCCATATGGGCAAATACTCTTGGTCACTTGCCTCTGAGAGGGACGAAGTAATCAAACCTGGGTTGGCCACAAGTAAGGCAAATGCCCTACCCACTGTGCTATTGTATAGTATCCTTAGAAAAATAATTTTTACAAATTACAAGGAGCCACATGTCTTTAAAAAATGACCACTTGCAATTGTAAAAGTCTCACATAGAGTGTCTGAAATACAGATTAGTATAATCTGAATTTAGAAAGTTGGTTTGTAGGGGATTGAGATGGTAACAGTATGTGGCTAATAGGACTCTTGAGGAATGTCCATGGTTCCAGAGACTGAGTTTAATAGACAAGTGCATGCTTGGGAAGTTGGATGTCTGGGTTTGATTCCAGGTATCCCTGGATTCCTGGAGCACTTCTGGGAGTATCCTCCTGCACAGCTAGGAGTAGTTCCCAAGCATTGTCAACAACGATCCCAAATCAAAGTAAAACAAAAGTTGATGACAGGTTAACTGTCTTACTGGAACAAAGGGGTATATTGTAAAGCTAAATATCCTTAAGAAGTTACCAGAATGCAGCAAAGAGAAGCCCAAAGAAGGAAAATATTAACGGGTAATTAGAGGAAGTATATGAGATTATACAAGAACATTGAACATAGGTTTCAAGACCTCAATTTCTGGTTCTGTAAACAGTGAACAAGCAAATTTTCAGACCAAAGTTCTAGAGTTTGAGAAGATTCCCTTATTGTTCAACACTGCATTTATTATGTTAGAATCTAGTTGCCACCCAGAATAAAATATGATAGTTTGGAGCAATAGCACAGCAGTAAGGTGTTTTCCCTGCACGCAGCCAGCCCGACTGAGCTGGGTTCAATTCCTCCGGCCCTCTTGGAGAGCCTGGCAAGCTACCGAGAGTATCTTGCCTGCACAAGCTACCCCGTGACGTGTTCAATATTCCAAACACAGTAACAACAAGTCTCAAAAGAATGGAGACGTTACTGGGCCCGCTCGAGCAAATCGATGAACAATGGGAGGACAGTTCCAGAAAATAGATTCAGAGGCCAGAGAGATAGTAGTGGTTAAGGCTCTTGTCCTGAAAGTGGTCAATCCAAGCTTGGTCCCTACAGTCACATATGGTCCCCTTAGCACCATCAGGATTGATCCCTTAGCATAGGGTCAGGTAAGCCAGGAATACAGCAAGGAGAAGAGGCCCAAACATAAAACAAAAATTTAAAAATAGAAAAAGAAATGGGTTCATGTTTTTTTCCCAGTTGGAAATAGGAAATCCCATAAAATCTAGGAGTCACTATAGGGAAATATGATGAATGCAGAGGAAGGAAGTGGATCCGTGATCAGTACCAGGAGACAAACTTGTAGTTAGGTTAAACTGTACCTTCTTCCAGCTATGTTTGATTCTGGTCTTGATTATAGATTTCTCACTTAACACCAGAACACAACTGTCAAACAGTAAGATTTGAAGTTCATATAACAACCAGTTCTGACATTTGGAGAGCAGCCAGAGGGCCAGAGGTGTGGTTCAGTGGTATAGCTTTGCATATATGATGTCCTGGGCTAGATTCCCAGCACCATCAAAAGAAAGAAAGAAAGAAATAACAGCTGGTAGTGACTTTTCTAAGGAGAAAGAGCTGTTGGCAGGTGGAAGAAATATGACTTTACACCAAGATTCTTTATACTTGCTCTGTGCTTCTGTTTCATAACTTGATTTTCCTTTATTGAGTGCCAAGTCAAAAGACACAGCCAAAGCAAGACCAGTAAAAGAGACGTTTATTCCTTACAGTCTGAATAGAAGTAGAAAAATCAGTTCTTCAAAGACTGTCTACCCAAACTTGCCCACGGGGAAAGTAGTCTTCAGGAGGTGTCCTGAGCTTGAGATTTAAGGCCTTCAGTAGTTTGCTTCTGGGCAGTTGCATTTGCTCTTGTGCTGAAGGTCAGAACAAGGACCATATATTCAGATGACTGATAAGTTCCTTCCTGGGCACTGACTTCTCCAGTCATCCAAGGTCAGTTCTTCGAGTTCTGAGCATGCTCTGGTGTAGGATCATCAGCAAAAACACAGAGCTGCAGCCTGCTGGCTCTGGTTCTGGAAAATGGTCTATTTCAGGAAGCTCTGAAACCAGAATAGTTGGGCAGACAAGTTACTCTACAACGTAGGGCAGAGCGCCAATGAAGACCCAAGACTTAATAGCAGATGGTAACTGCACCTGGCTGACAGGACTATTGATGAATGTCCAGGGCTCCATAGAGATAGAAAGTTCAGGAACAACAGAGTCTACTGGTACAGCCGAGGTGGACAGCTTACCTCATAGTCTTGTAATGCTGTGTAATGCTATGTAATACATAAGTCTTTCTCACACACCCCTGATTTTTTTCTTTTGGGGTCACACCTGGCGATGTACAGGGGTTAATCCTGGCTCATGCACTCAGAAATCACTCCTGGAAGTGTTCAGAGGACCATATGAGATGCTGGGAATCGAACCTGGGTCAGCCACATGCAGGGCAAATGCCCTACCCACTGTGCTATCGCTCTAGCCCCATACACCCTTGATTTTATAGATTCTGCAGAGACAGGAGTAGCAGAGCACAGCCAAAAATGTAGCCCACACTATTTATCTCCAGAGTTCAGAGAGGCCCGCTGAGCACTGTGTCTCTTTCTAGGAGCAGGCGATTGAAGGTACAGTGACCTGTCTCTCAAGTTCGAATGAATATTCCAACATGGCCCATATTTGTAAGCCATACAACTCTCCATGAACTCATCAGTGCAAAACTCATCCCTTTACTTTTGAGTTTTTATATTGTCTGACATTTATATATGGTACTGAATTCCTTAGAGTGTTTTACTATTTCTGGTCGCCAAGGACAAATCAGTATAATTCCATTCACATAATGAAAAGATGTGATATCAAGATGATTACAGATAACAACCGAAATAAGGACCTTGAGATAAAATAGTTAAAGCATGTTTCTGACCCTGGCATTTAAAGACAGTTATATATGTATACTTCCATTTACAGAAAATATCTCCACAATACACACACCCAGAATAATAATGGTAGTATATTATGGTAAATAAAGCAAGAAATTAGATGGAAGATATTACTATGGGAATTTTCCACATAAGCATTTATTTTTGGAGGGGTGTTTGCCACACCCAATGATATTCAGGGCTTAGTGGTGCTTGGGGGGACCCTTTGGGGTGCCAAGGATCAAACCCAGGTTGGCCACATGCAAGACAAACACCCTATTCACTGTACTCTTGCTCATGCTCCCTATTTTATATTTTTACAAAGCTTACCCACACTTCCTGTATATTGAGGCCATAGAGAAGTGGTGTAGATTATATGCAAGCTGCAGAATCAACAACACTGAAAACATGAGATCCAAACCAAAACAGTCAAACTTAAAAATGTGGGGTTGGAGCAATAGTGAAATAGGGGGGCTTTTGCCTTGCATGTGGCCCACCCAGATTTGATCCTCAGCATCCTATATGGTTCCTCCAGCACCACCAGGAGTGATCCCTGAGCATAGAGGCAGGAATTACTTCTGAACAGCAGTGGGTGTGCCCCCAAACAAACAGAAAAGCATACCTATCAAGGGAGTAGGCTGGGGGATGGGATGGAATCTGGGGACACTGATGGAGGAAAGATGACAACAGGGGTGGGATTGATGTTGGACCATTGTATGCTTAAAACTCAATTATGGGGGCCGGAGTGGTAGTACAGCGGGTAGGGTGTTTGCCTGGCATGCGACTGACCGGGGTTCAATCTTCAGCATCCCATATGGTCCCCCAAGCACTGCCAGGGGTAATTCCTGAGCACAGAGCCAGGAGTAACTCCTGAGCATCTCTGGATGTGACTCCAAAAGAAAAATAAAACTCAACTCTGAATAACTTTGTAAATCACAGTGTTTTAATAATAAAATAAAAATTTTTAAAAATAAATAAAGATAGTCTTATTATTTTTAAACATTCTCCTGGAGACAAAAAAAATACCATCTTTGGCCTTCTAGAAGCTACTGTTCCAGTTTGTTGATGGAACCTTAAAACTCATCCTCTAGGTTCTCTCCCTGTTCCCAGTCTCCTTTCACGCCCATTATCGCCCACAAACACACGGCAACTGCTACCACCCCAGAGCTGGCTGTGGTTTCCTCCCTGTGGCCTGCCTCCAGCCATCTGGATGGGAAAGAGAAGGAGGAAACTGGGTTTTTGTAGAAATCTCTGATGGACGCCCAACACTGTGTCATGCACTGCAGAAGAAGAGGCTGCTGTCTTCAGGGGTCATGTTGTTCACAGTCAGATTCGAGAATGTTAGTGTTGGGCGGCTGATGGGAAACTTGTCCTTGGAAAATTTTTTTTCATAAGTGGCTTCAGAGCCTTGATTTGCTGTTGCAATCAATTCCAAGCTCTGTCCTGGTAGTTGCTGGTACCAGTACATGAAGTTCATCTGAGTGTCCACTTGACACTGAATTGTGATGGAATTCCCTCTTTCACAGATGTCCCTGCTTGGACTTTGAGAGAGGAGAACTCCAAACACAGAGCCTAGATGCAGAAAGATAGAACTCTCTGAGGGTCAATAAGCTTGTCCTCAGACAGGATTTTTTTTTCTTTCAATATTTGCTCAAATCTCCTCATCTCCCAGAGAACCCTGCAGCAATGCTTTTTTTTGTCCCTCATCCTCTAGCTGGAGTTCTCAGACATTCACTGTTCCACTCTCATTAACATTAACACCCAATTCCCCCCGGGTAAGACTCTCTTACCTGGTCCCAGGAGAAGCAGCAGGCGAGTCAGCATCTTTGGTTGCTTCCCAAGCACCTCAGCCTTCCTCCCCCTTCCTCTCAGAAAAGGCACCGAGAAGTCAAACTCAATTTGCTTCCCCACCACCCACCCACTACAAGATCTCACCTCCTGGGAGAAGATATTGAGTTTCTGCAGATGATTAAGGAAGTCAGTCTGCCCACCGCAGCGTGGTGTGATTCTTTCTTAAGGCAATGTCTAGTCACAAGGTAACAAAGCATGTAATTGTTGTGACTTAAATCCCATCATGCTAGTTCTGTCATCCAGGTAGGACCTCATCATCAGGAGGACCTCAGAACTGTTCACCCTGTACCGTCACACAGCAGCAGCTCTGGCCATTCTTCTGAGTACAGGATGACTTGTTAGTCATCAAATGTCTGGTAATTTTTGCACTGTATTTTAGACATTGTCAAAATCATATCAAGATTTTTGTTTCTGTCTTAAAGGACGATGAAGCTTAGTTTTAGTAGACTAAATTGGCTAAATTCAAGTATCAAATTCTATTTTCTTATAGGGGGTAACAGCTAAAATTTCTAGTTAGTTCTTTTATTCTTAGAGTCAGTGATTGGGTTACCTCTCTCCCATGCATAGATTAGGCGTTACCTAAAAGTTTCATCAGAACGCATATGCTTAGGTTTCTATTACCATTTCATGAATATCCTCTTTCGTAGATTTCTTCCTAACTTTTTTTTTTTGCTTTTTGGGTCACACCTGGCGATGCACAGGGGTTACTCCTGGTTTTGCACTCAGTTGTTACCCCTGGCGATGCTCAGGGAACCATATGGGATGCTGGGAATCGAACCTGGTTTGGCCACTTGCAAGGCAAACGCCCTACCTGCTGTGCTATCTCTCCAGCCCCCCTTCCTAACTTTTAAGCCAAATTTTTCATGGATTTTGTTTTCACTGAGACTTACTATTCCAACAAAAACTACAGAAGTAAAAAACTTACATTTAATCTATATGCTGTTTTTCTCATAAATTCTTTTTGCTACTGGTTCTTTTCCCGTGATTAATGTAAGCTTTATTCTCATCCCCGGTCCCCCAAGTTTATACATGTTATTTGCAGGAGGACGAGTCTTACAGAAGTTACCATATTATCTCAAGAATTGCCTTGTCCTTTTTCATCCCCAATTTTGAGCCTCATCTGAGGATGCTCAAAGAACATGTTTAGACAGTGTCATTTCTGACAGTGCTTGGACAGTCATGTGGTGCTAATGATCCAACCCAGACATCTTGAAGGCAAAGCATTTGCTTCAGCCCTTTCAAGGCCCAGCCTGGGCTTCGTTCTTTCAAAATACTATTTTCAGTATTTAAAAGTTGCTTAGTGATCCACAGATATTTTTGGTTTTATTGCTACTATATTTAAAGATTCCGAAGAAAATTGGATTATTTTTGATGGGATTGTCTTCTCCAGGGTACATTTACACTTTTTTTTTCTTTTTGAGTCACACCCAGTGATGCACAGGAGTTACTCCTGGCTCATGCACTCAGGAATTACTCCTGGTGGTGCTCAGGGGACCGTATGGGATGCTGGGAATCAAACCCGGGTCGGCCGCATACAAGGCAAACGCCCTACCCACTATGATATCACTACAGACCCATACATTTGCACTTTTGACAGATGATGTAAATGGATACTAGTTTATGTTTTGAATGGATTTATCATTTAGTGAATTTACATTCAGCTGACAGTGAAATTTTATCTGATTGTTTCAAAATCTGTGTAGAGGACCTCACTCATCTTTGGCATATAGACAGACAACACTAGAGAACAATCTCTATGGATGACAAACTCTTGGTTTTTTATTACAAACCACAGGTCATCGATCATCGGTGAAAGGGGTGGAGGGAATGAAGAAACAAATGGAGTGACTTAGGGACAGTAGAGGATCTTTGATACTACATGCTAGTGGGGTGAAGTCACTTCACATCAATATCGTAGATTCTGGAGTCAGAGAGATACTACAGCTGACAAGGTACTTACCTTGCATGTGGCCAACCCCGACTCCTTCCCTGACAACCCATATGGTCCCCTGGGTATCACAAGGAGTGAGTGCAGAGCCAGGAGTAAGCTCTAAGGAGTAAGCCCTAGCCTGCTGGTATAGCTCATAATAAACAAAACACTAAAGGATTATAACCTTGTTACCTAAACTATACTAATAATAATTTTTTTAAAAAATTGCAAAGGAACACTGATCTTCCATTAACATACCAGCCTTGAATAAGTTATTTGTAGAAAATCAGATGTTTTTTTATGGCACTTATGTATTTAACTACTTGAGATATCTCATTTCTTTCTGAAAAAAAAAGTAAAAGTTAAAGATTTTGTCCTTTTCTATTGCTGTCCTAGTTTCTTACAGGAAATGACCAACCCCTTTTCCCATTATGTCCTACTAAAGATGGTTCACATTTCTGTCCAAAACCCCAAACAATTTATTATATTTTCCAAATCACACTAACAACTTATTTTTATTACTATATTAATGTAGCATTTTTTCTATAACATTTTCAGCATCTTAATGTGATACACTTTTATTAAAATAATGGTTTACATTTCCAAATACTTCCTGAAACCTTATCATAAACACTAGTGCTATTTTATATGCTTTTAAGGGTATATTCTGTGAACTCTCCTTTGAACATATTTTTCAATTTATTTCTAAATTCAAACCTCCAATTCCAATTTACAATCCTCTCGACCTTTTTATATGTTTTAATGCTGTTTATTTTGAGGCATGCTATTCAATCTCTGCTTATTCAAGTTCTATTGGGTCACTGAGGTCACCTGACTCTCTATTTACTAAGATGTGCTGTGTGAAAAGAACTGAGGGAACCTGTCTGAAAAAGAGCTGAGTCTGGGTGGTGATCTTTTCCCCAGGAACTCCTGGATGGGATTGGAGGTTTCCATCCTGCCCTGAAAATGAGACCACCCTGATTGTATCTATACCCCTACTTGTAGACTATTTTCTCACTCAGTGTAATTCTTGTATTGGGAAATACCATAATCAATGAAAATGATGGGATTTCAAAAACCATGATGTATTTGTAGGTGAATGTTTGCAAATGTGGTGCTCTGTTATTTCACAGTGTTCTGTGGCATGTGCTTTTTCTCTCTTGTGTCCACCTCTGTCACAAGACCTAACCTTTTCTGACTTTTCTTAGAAAAAGAATGCACCTCCTCATTTCAGTAGGAACTCTCACAAAAATGTGGCAGGATATTTTCCCCTCTTATTCTTCTTGCCTTTGTTGATCAAAAAATAAGCCCAAGTTACAGCTCATGGAAAATTAACTCTAAGAATTATAATACACATTGATATACCCCTTTCTCCCAAATCTTCTACATTAAAAAAGTAGCATTGCATGAATATATATTTTCATGTGGTTTTTGCAAACTCCCTGTCTTTGATATTTCAGATACTCTGATTTTCTTTTTGTATTCCCAAAGAAAACAGGCTCAATTCATATTGCTGATAAATTAGTTTGTGTTTCAATCCTAAACCAACAGATATATTTTCTGAATATAGAGAAAGCCTATCTAATTCTCAACCCCATATAGTGTATTCCCCTGTCATAAGTTTTCAATGCATTGCTGATTATTTAGAGATACTAGAATTTTTTTCAGTTTTTCTATTTTATGAAATGGAATAAACAGATTTCAAATTTCACACAGCTTCTCTCTCTTTTTTTTGGCTTTTTTGGGGGGGGGGCGGGAGTCACACCCAGGGGTGCACAGGGGTTACTCCTGGCTTTGCACTCAGGAATCACTCCTGGTGGTGCTCAGAGGATCATACGGGATGCTGGGAATCGAACCTGAGTCGGCCACGTGCAAGGAAAACGCCCTCCTCGCTATGCTATCGCTCCAGCCCCCTCACACAGCTTCTCTTGAAACTGTAGGTAGACCATAGCATCTAAAGAAAGTGTCCAGAATGTGAGTGCCCCCTAGTGATGATCAAGAACAAAAATGCTTAGCAAAGTAGCAAATGTTCACTTTGAGGGACTAGGATAGGAAGGGAAGGAAACACGTGGGAAATGGGAGAGCAGGGGGTTCTTCTCTGTGGGCACCCCTACTCCTTGGCAGGGGGACAGTCTTATCTCATGACTTCAGATTGTAAAAAAGCAGGTTTGGGGGCCAGTTGAGCTGAGAATGACTTGAACAGCGTTGGGGATGAGGTCTGAGGTGTCACCTGGGGTTTCCTAGCCAACACGTGTCTCCGTTGCTTTGTCTTGGTTGTCACCTGTCTCCTAATTGTCAGTCCTATGCCAGAAGAAGGAGCGTGCCCGAGCGTGCCTGAGTTAGGGTCCAGTGCCTCTCTCTGCCCTTTCTGTGCAGGGAGGGAGCACCTATGTAGCACTGTGGTTTAACTGCTGGCACAGAAGTACACAGATGTCTGGGAGAGTTTGGCAGATTGCACAGTAAGGGAGAAACTCTTCTTCTCCTTCCTAGACACACTGTACCCATCGGGAGCATCCCCTTTATCAGTGCTGCCAGTCACATATGAGAAATGGAGCAGCTGCAGTCCCAGGGCTGGGTCATGTCGATACCAGAACATTCTATCATGGTCCATAGTCTGTGTACATTCCATTAAAACTGTCTCTCCTATTTTTTTGACCAGATATCTTGGGTTTTGGGTGACTTCTGCCTTCATGAGTCCTGTGAGAAGAGGAGGCAAGAGGTGTTAAAAAGAGGCAGCAAGATTCCTGAGGAGAGAAAATTCTGGTCTCAGGAATCCAGAAATAATAGCTCTGGTGCTTACCACCAACTCTGCAGACTTACCTATTTTCAGGAAACAAAAGGCCACACTGCAAAGGAGCCCAAATGCCATGGCAGGTTTGAGACAAAAACAGGTCTTCATCCAGACCCAGTCCTGACATTGACTTTGGTGATGTCATTGTCCCTGCCCACATTCAGGGTCCCTGAGCATCCTGTGGATGTTAGAGAGCTTACAAGGGTAGAAGAAAAGTCATTCTGCTTCACACGGGAGAGTGCATACATATGT